CTGAAAAACTTAGATAGTGGATACTCTCCACTTAAAATAAGCCAAGTATATTTAGTTGATTTAGAAGATTCTTGTAAGCTTTCCCATGTATAAAAGCTTTGTTTTGATTTGGTATATACCCTTTGTTTGCCTAACAGTTGAAAAGATACTGTTAGAGAGTTTAGTCAGTGCACTAAATCTTTTGTTTTTAGTATAGCATTTGTTGCTTTAGTTTTTGATACCTTACCCTTAGTTTAGTTTTCATGATCACAACTTCATTTTAAAATTATTTCATTTTTACCTTGTGTTGATACAATACTCATAAGTATTGGCACTTGGAAACCTTTAGAATAATCATTATCTCCTTAACCTTTATAAATAATTCAGTCTTCACCCTCAAAACTTATTATAAACCATATTTGTGGTAAAACCTACCTTCCAGAGTATAGTTTGTAATAATAACATCATATGAAATTGACTAATCACCATAAGTGCATCCGGAAATAATGACAGTCCCGACAAAACAAACTCAACGCAAGAAAATAAACAGATGCCGAAACCCTAGGCTAGGATCCTAACAAAATGTCGTTGAAGCGTTAGGGTGCTTCAAAAGTAACACAAATTTGACCAATCCAAGTTCTAAAGCGAAAAATTGCAATAGAACAAAATTTGATACATCAACTAGCATTCATACTCCGAGAAAAAATGCTCGGTGCAAAATTTAGAAATAACTTGGTTTTTAAAAGTTAACATTTAACTAGCAAACTTTCTAATGAATTCAGTATTAATAACACTACTCCGTTTTAACCTTCCCACCGTTGAATCGCAAACTCCGAAACCATTACAGCTACTGACATTACCGACGTTGCCATTTTGCTTTTATTATTACCGTTGAATCGCAGACAACAAAACAGTTGCAGTTACCAATATCATTGCGTTTCTCTAAGGAAAGTGCTTCAACTGAAACCAAGATAATGATTGTGCATTCCATTTTAAGTGTTGCTTTTTGTTTTTAGAATGCCGATAATTTATATATTCATAAGTATCCCGACCCTCCTCTTTCAGCAAAAAATTACATGTAATTCCAAGAAATTTTTTGGTCACTAAGAACACCGCATTTTTTTGATATAAATTCGTATTTATTGGAGAGATGTCATCTGTATAAAATTGTATTGATTTATTAATTGGATGGGTAAGAAATCTCTCGAGGTGAGACAAAACTCAGAAAACTTTTAGGTGACCAACAATTATAAAAATCACTAATAAATAGTTGTTAAACACAAGCACGTTTGAGTTAAATTACAAAATTTTCTAATATTGCAACAAAAATATGATATCAAGATCTGTTTGAGTAAATATATTCTCAATAATGCCATAGGTGAAATTATTTATATTACTCATTCTCAAGAGGTAGTAAATAGCCTTATGCATATCTCGTATTGTGCCAACACCATAAAGATGCGCGAGAGCAAGATCCATCGAAGCACCAAGATATCCACCATCAATCGCCTTTAAGCTTAATTGGAAAGAATTTACTTTATTCATTTTTACTCCCTTACCATAACGATAATGACGTGCTAAAGTAAAATAAGACGGTGGAAAACGTTGACTTGCTGCTCTTTGTCTCCAATAAAATGCTGCGTCTGGGTTGTACGATTTGCTGGAATAATAATCTCCAAGCATGTGTTGTGCAAATGGATCGTTTAGCTCTGCTGCTTTTTTGAATATTTGTAAGGATTTTTCTTTTTCGCCTCCCTCTAAATATAATGCACCCAAAATTACTTGATTTTGAGGGTGTTGGCAAGTTGAGAGATATTCGATCATTTCGGATTTGTGTGAATTGGTAGTTTGTAGAAACTTTCTTATGACGAGATGCATGTCAATAAAAAATGTCTCAGTTTCAAGGTCTGTAAGAAGTTCTTTGACTGCTTTTTCATAATTTGGAAATATATTAATAATTATATTCTCATCGTCTATTTCAGTATCCATTGTTGTTGTTATTGAATAGATTTTTGCCTCTGATAATATAAATGTAGTGCGATCTTTATCAATATTAAAATCATTTCCTTTATTAGACCATTAAGATATTGATTTGCATGTGTAATTCGAGTCAAAGAATTCATTCTTTATTGGCAAATTTTGATAAACGATTCCCAGATATGAATATAAATTGCACATTATGCAAAAATTTTATTAAGTTTTATCACATAGTATTCATGAACCATACTAAAAACACAACCATCTTACAACAAGTTACATATAAGTTCAATCTTTTCAAGACTTCATTTTGAATAAAGAATTTTTCTTTAGTTATGATATCTTATCTAATTCTTATTGATGTTCTACTTTTATCTATTAGTTTTTATAGAACTATCTGGAATGATAAATAAAAATATCTGAAGTATTTAGTTTTATATTAATTCAAATAAGTAAATCATTATAATATTAAGAATGTTCATATTTTTTGTTAATAATTTATAATAATATTAATATTTAGTAATAATTCTCTCTAATTAAAGAATTTCATAGTGGATTTATTCAAATTTTTCTTTTAATTTGAAATAATAATATAAATAATAATAAAGATATAATAATAAGAAGAATAAATAAAAATATAAAAGAAAATTAAAAAGAAATCTAATTAAAAATATTAATTATCTAAATTAATAATAATAATATACATAGTGATTATCTTTATAATAATATATTAAATCTAATATATTAAATATATAGATAATTATCTGTATATTCAGAATATAATTGATCTTTATAAAAAGTAATACAGAAGCTAATCTGTTATACAGTATTATATACAGCTCTCAATATATATAATGAGAATTGTTATTTGGCAATAAATTATGAGAGCTTTATTTATTTGGCTTATGGCTTTATAGATAAGTAAATATGATATTTATATACAATAAATATAATTTATTTCTTTCCTATTATTTTCAAGAACTTTATTTAAATGACCTGATATTGAATTTACTAAATTAAGACATATATCAAGTGAAATATCCTCCCACTCCTCCCTAATTAAACCATGCCAATGCTCAATGCTAATCATTTTTTCTTTTCTAACTATTTTACTGACATATTTCTCAACTCTCTTTTTAATAATAGTCTAAAGATTTTCTATTGGATTAAGATCAGAACTATAGGATGGCCAATCAAGAATCTCTAGGACTTGATGACAAAAAAGTTCTTTTATTTTTATAGTCTGATGCTTTAGATCAATATCTTGCTAAAAGATCTAATATTTTTTTATAATTCTATATATATTTTTAAAGAGGTAATTAGTTAAGATTTTATGATAAAGCTCTCTATTTAGATTTTATGTAAACATATGAAAGTTAATTATTCTATATACAAAAAATGCATTCTAAACATGAACTTTTACTGGATATTTTAAAACTCTCTTCTCTGAAATATTTATTCCAGCTTTGTAAAATACTTTCATAGTATTCTGAAACATTTAAAAAGTGATTTTATCTGAAAATATGATATTTTTTCAGTTTTGTCAAATATGGATAGTTGCCTATTTAACATGATATTGGTATTTTTCTTCTGCAAATAAAGAAATAGTTTTTGGTTTTTTTGCATGATATCCAAGTTTATTAAGTTCACAATTAATTATTTTTACTGATATTTTAATATTAAAACCAAATTTATTGGTGATTTTTTTACAGATAAGATACTTATCATTTTAAATAAGTCTTTCTAACATATATTAATCTTTAGGAATTAGAATTGTGAGATATTTAGAATAAGAAATAAGTCTAAGTTTATCATTTTTTTAATTAAATGATATATTTATATATTATAGAAAGGGAGATATCACTTAGTTTTACTAAAGTTGATACATCATGGATATCACACTTTCAAAACTGACTTATAGTTATTTGTCAGTTTTTAAGTAAGATTTTTTCTATTTTATATCAAAAAAAAGGAGAAGAGAACTAATTAAGCTTTTTTTTAGATTTGTTTTTTTATATTACATTGATAAACAAATTGACATTAAAGTTTGATCATATATACTAGGTACAGTCATATTTTCTCTATATATAATTTGTAATATATTCAATTCTCATTATATATATTGAGAGTTATAAATAATATAAAATAAAGATATAAACTTAAAGAAAATAATCTAATCAAAATTATTACATATTAATTTTAATTTGATATTTTACTTTGAGATTTTTGATTTTAATATTTTTATATTTTTGATTTGATATTTTTAATTTTTATATATTTATAATTTTAATTTTATTATTTTGATTTATATTTTAATTTATATTAGTTATATTACTTTTAATATAATTATCTTTATTAATAGTAATTTTACTTATTAATTATTATAAATTTCTTGATTTATTTTATTCTTTTTCTTTATAATTTTATTTTTTTTTAAATGATTTTTATAATTTATTTCTTTTATAATAATATTTATAGATATTAATATAGATTTTAAAAATCTTTACTAATATTTATTTTTTATTTTTATTAGTTTAATTATCTTTCTTCTAACTCTTTATTTTTATAGTAATTTTTAGTAAAATTTATTATTCAGAATTATTATAATAATAATTAATAAGAAATTAAAATATATTAAAGTTTTATTTTTTATTATTTAATACTATATTTTATTTATAATTATATAATATTAAAATAATTAACTTATTAAAAGCTTATTATCAAAAATTATATCTTTTAAGTATTTTAAAAATAATAAATATTAAAATAAAATATTTCATCTTAATATTAAAAATAAAATATCTCATCTTAATATTAAAAAAATAATTAAATTTAATACGAAAAAGTATAAAGAAATATAATTTTCCAGATAATTATTAATTGCTAATATAAAATCAAAATAGTACTATTAATTAAGTAAAATTAATTAAATTTAGATATATAACATAATAAAAAAATTCAAGATCAGAAATTAATATTTAATAACTTATTTCTAATATTTTTATTAATATTATATAAATAATAATAACTTATAATTATATTTATTTTAATAATACTATTAAAATAAAAAAAATTACTATAAATAAAGAAGTTATTATAAAAGAAATTCTCTAATTATTTAATTCTGATAGTGAAAGAGATAATAAGATTAAATTTTTTATTTTATTATCTTGAAATATAATAGTATTATAGCAAATCTGATAAGTAGATTTTTACTTGATTTTATCTTAATGATATTGAGTTAAAAGAAACTGAATTAATTAAAGAATAAAAAAAAAGAAATTTACTTTTAATACTAATAAAAATTTCTAAGATCTATATTAATATTTATAAATATTATCTTAATAAAGGAGTAATTAAATAATAAAAGAATAAATAAGTCAAGAAAATTATAAAGATCAATTAGTAAAGCTATTAATAATTAATATAATTCAAGACTTAAAGTGATTAAATAATAAATTATTATTAATTAAAGAAGATTATAACTAAACAAAAAATAAAAACTAAAGTAAAATATGAAATAATTAATTAAAAAGGGTATGACTTATTTATAGTAAAGATCTTTTACTCTCAAAATAATAAAACAAATAAAATAAAAGTATAACTTATTTATAATAAAGATCTTTTACTCTTAAAATAATATTAAAAATCAAAAATTAATATAATATTATAATTCAAATCAAAATTGACTTTATATTATTAAAGAAATAAAACTAAGTGAAAGAAAGAATACTAATAAATTAGAAAAAAAATCTTATAAAAAATTATTATTATTATAATAATAAGTTTTTTAATTATATTTTTTAAATAATTTAATTTAAAATTACTATTTATTTTAGCTAGAATAGCAAATTCTTTTATATATTTTCAAATACATAAATTATTATAGTATTATTATTTAACATTATCTAAATATATATGTTATTATTATAAAGAATTATAAATTAAAGTACTAATAATTTAAAGATTAATATTAAAAAAATAAATATTTATAGATATTTGAAGATATTAAAAGATATTTGAGAATATTAAAAGATATTTGAAATATTAATATCTGTGAATATATATAGATATTTATGAATATTTAAAATATTAATATTTGTAGATATTTTATTATTTTATCAAAAATTTAAAAAGAATCTTCAAATATACTATTCTAATAAATATATAAATTATGTATGATAAGTAAATCAAAAATATAAATTTCAAATAAAGAGAATAATATATAATATTTAAAAATAGAAATAACTATAAAGAGTAAATAAAATAAGAGAAATAAATATATAATTATAGAAAAATAAAGATAATTATAGGATAAATTATAAAATTATAGAAAAATAAAATTTTATATAATCAAAAAAAGATTATAAAATTAAGAAATTTTATATTATTATAATAACAATAGTTAATATAAATATTTAGAATATTAATCTGATATATAAAATATTATATAATATTACTAATTTTAAACTAATACATTTTTAAAATTAGAATTACTTTATTTAATAATAAATATAATAATATAAATATTTTTACTATTAGTTTTTATACCATTAACAAAAAAATATTATTTATTTTTAAGTATAAAATATAAAAAATAATAGTAAGTCAGCTTTAAATAAATAATATTCAGAAATCTGTAGAAATTATATGAATAATAAATTTTTCTAAGTCTATAATATATGATATAATCAATTAAATTAAAAATTATCAAGTATTATACTACTTTCCAGATCTGAAAGACTTTTAATTCTTATAGTTAAATAATATTATATTCTTAACTAATTAATAAAATCAATAATATCATCACTATAGCTAAAATAACTTAAAGACTTAAATAAAAAGATTCTAACTTGAAAGTTTTTATTCATATAATTTAAAAAAATTTTTGATTTGATATTTATTATTCACTATGATTTTTTTTTACAATTCTATTATATTATAACTTATCTTGAATAGATACAGAAATATATCTATTAAAATTGATTTCACATAATTTTTTCTGATAAAAT